TTACAATATTGTTGTAATATTGTTAAATACTGTTACAATACTGTTGTAATATTGTTAAAATATTGTTACAATACCATTAAAATAACTTTACAATACTGTTGTAATATAGTTAAAATATTGTTACAGTACTGTTATAATACTGTTACAATACTCTTACAATACTATAAAAAGACAGACATAATTTTTAACTTGTAAGAAATATATTTGCCTGTTGATAAAAGCTAACTTTAAACTCTAAAAATATAAAGGAGCTTTGCTAAGGGATGAGAACTATCACACCATCCTGCAAGGAGGTCAAAAGCTAAACTTTTTTATGGACGTTTGCATCTTTACATGCTGCAGGTGGGATTCTGCTGCCTTATTTCACCGAGTCTTTCCTCTAGTTTATCTGCCATGGAGCCCAGATGAGAATCCTTCAGAGCTTTGGGCAGCACCTTCATCTGCACCGGTGAAGCCTGGGCCAGCCAGGCTCGGATCTGATCCACCAGAAAACCCCTCTGCCTCGAAGCAGACTTGTTTTCTTCTGACTTGTGGATTACCCTGTTTGGGGGGACATTACGGGTTGTTCATGCACAAAGCTTAAAGAAGAAGATGGAAATTAACAGTAAAGAGGGAAGTGTGTGCTCACCTGTTAACAAAATGTTTCAGATCTCTTTTTGGCATCCATCCACTAAAGAAAGCTGAGAAGAAAGTCCTGAGAGTCTCACCTGAGAAGAGATTATGTAACATCCATTTACTTTAAAGTTTTTCATTTTACTTACTTAAAATGAACAGTTATACATACTTAAATCAAACAAGTGACATTTTTACACACCTCCGTTTGCAAAATCTTCACAGGCTCCACACACAGTGTCGTGGTACGCTGATCCGGCGAGAAGGACCAGCTGACCGTTACCACACTCCTGATGTTTCATGCATGAATCCAGCTGAGAGGATGAGTTAGAGAAATAACCACTGGGGCACTTTTCACAAACTGTGTCCTTCTGATGAGTACCTGGACAGGACAACAGTCACAAATGTGATTTAGTGAACAACCGTTGGTCAGGAAACACTTCCTTTTTAGGCTTTTATCTTTCCATTGGTACCTGCAGTTTGGACTCCATATCCAAGGCCACATTCTGAGTGTTTGTCGCAGAAGTCATCCATCAGGTAGTAGCCCGGTTTGCACCGACAGACCCTGTTGCTGACCGGGGAGCACTCGGTCTCCACTTCCTGGTTCTGAATGCATATGTGGTTGCAGTACAGACACCTGGGCAGGTAGTTCCACAACGCAGTGAAGTGGTTTTCTCTGCATGGGGCGCACTGCGTGGGCGTGGTAGCGGTGCAGTGGGCAACCCGATGAGTGCCGGGTTGACAACTGCCACATAATAAGGTTTCACCTGTGGTTGGGTCTTGGTGGCTATAGGTAGTAGCCGGATCTGTTGCTGTGGCAACGGCAGAGAGCAGGAACAGAAGAGCCAGAGCTAGCTGAATGGAGCAACAGAGAATGATGAGCTAACCCTTTAACCTCTAGAGATCATAAATGTGTATTTCCAAGTTTTGTTTTTTGTGGAATCTACCTTTAAAAACACATTTATTCCACTTCACATGGAAAGCAAAGACATTTCCACTAAGAACTCCACTATCTTGATAGTTTTTTTTTCTTACCAAACCCAACTTTCACCTTCAGAAGCACAAATAAATCTGAAAATACAGTTTAAAAACCTCCTAAACTGACACCAGCTGACAGAAGTGATCTTAGCTGTATGGGTTGAATATATGTTAGAATCATGAAACTTCAATTCAACTAAAATTCTATTAATCTCAAAAATTTAATTATTTCTGTTGACTTCTCACCATCATCATGATGTCTTCCCTTCAGTCAAAGAAGCTTTGATAATCAGAGCAGATTCTTCTAGTTTATATAGAGCTCAAGTGCGTGGGCGGTTAAAGGTCAGCTTCCCTATTCTAACCAAAGCAGAAAACACAGATCAAAGTCATTAAAAAAGCTTTTGATGTTAAAAGATGAAGTCTGCATCATATAAAAGCTTATTCAAGTAAAATGAACTGTTTTACACAGTTAAACAGATTTTTTTTAGGTACCTAGAGTGAATTTTATGTCTGGATTGACTCATCTTTGTCCTTTTCCTCATTGATTCACTGGAAGATGAACTAAAGTAACATTGCAGTGATTAATTGGTCACTTTAGTCACAGAGAGAGGAGAACAGTTTTACAGTTTTTCCCAATGGGTTACACACATTTTCTGGTACTTGAGACAAAATTACCACAACATGTAACCAAGTAACCCCCCCCCCCCCCCCCCCCCCCCCCCCAAACCAATTTTGCGAAACTACAAGCACAATTCCTGCTTTGCACTCAAATTTCAAATCTAAAACACACTTTTCTCAAAACACTACACACAGTTCTCTGCTGTTGGCAGAATTTTCATACAGGAACTATCTTGTTCTCACAAGGAACACACAGCTATTCAAATGTGCACACTGACTCATCACACGGGCAAACACCCGCCACACAGTTTTACAATCAGCAAACAGAACTTTAGCATAAAAGGGCAACAGGTGAGCTCTTCTGTGTTGGAGCAATGGATGCCAACTTTGGAAAGAGCCAGAGGAGTGAGAGTCAGAGGAGGAGGATGGGGAGGATGAGGACGAGGAAAAGGAAGAGGAAGACCAAGGACCGTAATCTCTGATGAGATCCGAACCACAGGTCAACAGGGTGCAATTTGAAGGAAACTCAGAAAGAGTCAAAGAATTGCCATATAACTATGAGAGTCAAGTGAGTCCCGCAATTGATGCATTCACTCAACACTGTGTACAGTAAATGATCCATATTTCAATATTGTAATCATAATGACTGTGCTTCACACTAGTGACCACTCCACGTTTATTTCTGATATTGTCATGTGTGTTTCAGAGAGTCCTTGAGCTAGAGGCAGCTGCAGAGGAACACCAGTTCATCTTCATTGATGAGGTTAGATTCAACCTCACAAAACGACGAAAGAGGGGAAGGAATATCATTAGCCAGCATGCCATTGTTGAAGTCCCTGGCCAGCGCGGAGGGAACATCACAATGTGTGCAGCGCTTGGCTACCATGGCATCATCCATCACCATGCTACCCTTGGCCCCTACAACTCCGCCCATCTGATCACATTCCTGGACACCCTACACAACACATTCATTCCACCAGACCAGGTAGATGGTCCAGAACAGCCCAGGTACGTTGTCATTCAAGACAGTGTAAGTTTCCACATGTGGTTCATAACTGGTTCACTGGCCATCCACGCTTTTAAGTTGTTTATCTCCTTCCATATTCTCCATTCCTCAGTCCCATTGAGGATTTTTTTTCTGCATGGAGATGGAAGGTGTATGGCCGACAGCCACAAACCTGTATACCTCTTCTCCAAGCTATGGAGCATGCATGTGGAGATATAGCAGCTGATTCTTTTCATGGCTGGAATCGCCATGCTAGGAGATATTTCCCCCGCTGCTTGGCCAGGGACAACATTGCTTGTGACGTGGATGAGGCGCTGTGGCCAGACCACAACAGAAGAGAGGATGCAGCATAAGTTTTATTGCTTTACTGTAACTGTAAATTCTTCTGTTGTGGGTAGTTTATGTGTGCAACTTTGTGTTGGTTGGGAATGGGATGAACATTGTGTACAATGTTTTGTGAGAAAAATAAAATAATTTCTACCATGTATTTGTGTGTTCAGAGTGTAAAAACAATATTCTGAAATAACAACACATGCATGTATATACTGTCTGTAGTAGGTGTAACACTGAACCAAAAAGGCTTTAGTCATTATGATGAATGGAGAAGATGTGTTTTCCATTCATCATGGTGTTTAACACTGAGCACATGAGTGTTCTGCTGGTTCTTATAAATGTCTACTCATACGATGGTTTGTGTGTGTCATTTGACAACAAAATCACATTTTGAGGAGAAATAACATTGTTTTGAATGTGAAGTTTAATTTTGCAGGTTAAGTGAGGGGTTTTGCCCACTGTGTGTGTATTTTCTGGATTTGTGTGTAGAGTTCTGAAAATATGGGGCATGCTTTCAGAAAATGTGTGTAAACAATTGAGAAAAACTGTAATTAACTCAATAAAGATTCTTATCTGGTTCAGGCGCGCCCAGTCCTGGTCCTGGAGGTCCACCCTTCTGCATGTTTTAAGTGGCTTCCTTGTGGTTGAATCACCTGATCAGCAGCTCATCAGTACCTGCAGAAGCCTGTTTATCACTGATCTGTGTTGAAGTGGAGAAACCTCTAAAATAAACAGGATGGTGGCCTTTGAGGACCAAGGTTGAACACCGCTGATTTACAGCAGATAGTCTACTTTACAGTTCTGTGAACCACTTTTTGCTCCTTTACACAGAATATTTTACCACAGGTCTTGGGAAGCATCGAGATGTTTTAGGCACAAGTGAGCCTTTAGTTTTATCAGTCAGCAAATGTGAGCTGATAACTGATGACAAGCATGTGTGCAGAGTGCATGATCTGACCTCGGCTGAGGGAAAAACTCAACTTGCCCAACAAAGACCAGCAGATAATGACATCATTAATTATTCCAATACAGTCAGAACGAATAATTCTTTCCATAAAAAATAAAACTGTCTCTGAAAAAGCATTTTGAAACTGAACAAATATTTAAGGGGGTAAAATCCTTTTCACAGCACAGTAAGTGTGTCCCATTTTCGGTTAATTAGACGTGAAGTCAACATGATTTAACCACAACCTGCCAAAACGTCTGGAGAAAAGTCCTGGAGCTTTCCTTTTCTATTTCCTCCCTGAGTCGTTCGCAGTAACGTGAAAAAAAAAATGGGATTTTTCTTTTACTCATCTTCAAAAACTTCCAGATAATTGTTTCCTGAACATTAGTGACACAGTCTGAAATTTTTAATGACAGTGAAACTCTAAAAGATCATTTTCCATGTGCTGGGTATAGTTTATGGTAATAAGGCATGTGTGTTTTCTGAAGAATGTCTTGGTGAGTCATAATGATGAACCAGCGTAGTGTAAAAATACACTGAATAAGGGCAATTACTCAGTGACTGAAACATACTAGTACTCTGTATTAAATACACGGTACTAGACAACAAACAAGTCACTTAATTCATCCTTATTTTGTACTCAGGATGTGAGAGTCAGCGTTTGATACCGGAAGTGTACGCTCACAGGTGACACTGAAAATGAGCTCAGCAGATCGTTTTATGATGAGTTTGTAAATTATCGTTTCTCTATCTACAAGATCTCCTGTAAGCTTTTCATGCCGTCATCTGGCTTTGAACGTCAGTCATGTTTTTAAATTTCCATTTTTTTTCTCTTTTAACTTTTCAAATAACCTTTTCAAGATGAGTGTCTGCTGTTGTTTTTCTTCTTTTGTTAACACCTCAGTCAGGCTTGTGTCTGGTTGATTTTACCAAATGTTACCGTTGAGTGTAGGAGGTTGAACCCAAAAACGCAGAACACCAGAACGACTCAAGGCAGGAGTAGTTTAAAGAAAACAATTATTTTATTAAAGGAGGATGCGCCAAAATCCAAAGCACAAAAAATAAGATTAAATCTCATAAACTCACTGAATGCTCAAAACCAAATAAACCCTCACACATGAGCACAGACTCAGAGAAACTCGAGAGTGGCACGAACAACGCAGACACATACGACAATGACCCAACAAACACTGGAGGACAAGACAGGCTTTTAACACAGAGGGAAGCAATCAGGGGAACAGGTGACAGGTGTGATCAATTAACTAAATGGGAAGGAAAAACCAAGCAGAGGGGAAGATAACATAACCTATAAAAACACTAAATAACAAAACCCAGAAACTAAGAGCAAAGATAAACAACTAATGACAAGAGGAGTAAGGGAGACTATTTAACAAGTGGGGAAGGACACAAACACTAAAGGGAACTAAGAAAATGAAAAGCTGAACCTATAGAAAATAAAACTACAGAGGGGTGACTAGGGGAGAACTGAGAAGCTGGGAAACACCAGGAGACACATGAGGAGAACGCAGAGGACAAACAGGAGGGGGCTGGGGACCAAGAGGACACAGAACATGACAGTTACAACATAAAAATTGGAGAACTTCTTTGATTGTTTCATTCAGAAATGTCCTTTTTTGTGCTGATGTCATTTTGTTGGTCTAATAATTTACTTAAAGAGTAAAGAAAATATTTCTTTCACAGAGGATCCCATCCTACACCCCCCCCTGCCCCCACTCCTACCCTGTTCTGATACCATCATCTACCTCGTACACTGAGCTCTAACTCACCTGGAGAACCCTAGATGCACTGTGAGGATCTGTGGATGGGCATTACAGGGTCAGCCCAAAAATGGGCAAGGTCCTATTTCACTGGCAGGAGCTTCAGGGTCAGGATGGACAATGTCCCCTGGGAGTGCCACAAGGGTTCATTTTAGCCCCCCTGCTCTTTTACCACTATCTGCTGCTGTTAGATGCCCCGTTTGGTAAACATCACGTCAAGTTCCACCTGTACGCTGATGATTAACAGATTTATTTTCCAGTGGGGCATCATACTTTTGGCTCCATCCAACTGCTATTGGACATTAAAACCTGACTGGCTGACAATTATTTTTTACAAAATAAAGGAAATTTGAAAGTGTAGTTCTAGATGGGGTGTCACACGCTAGCCACATTTGAGAAAGCAGCGGTGACTAATCTGGGAGTGAAACTGGATGTGGGTCAGCCAGGTGAATTGGACAGTTAGATCATGTTTCTCCCATCTGCACCGCTTAGCTAAAATAAAGCTGTTTCCTTCATGTGGAAATAACCTGGATATTGTGATTCACACATTTATAGGATCCAGGCTGGACTATTGTAACTCAACACAAGCAGACTGCCATCGCAAAACTTCAATTTGTTCAAAATTCTGCTGCAAGATGGTTGACTGGAACCAGGAAGAGAGCGTACATTACTCCCATTTTAGCTTCCCTTTACTGACTGAGTGTAACTTACAGATTTAGTTTTAATATTATCTTGTTTCTTCAAGGCTCTGAATGGTATTGTCCCACAATATTTAGCTGATATGATCCAACAGTATGCTTCATCTCACCCATTACGGTCAGCAGAACAGGGTCAAGACATTAGCTGTAATTGCAAGGAGGAGATGCCTTTTCTGTCCTAGCTCGATGATGTGGAATGACCTCTCATCAAAAGACAGACAAGCACCATGGCTCCTCGCTTTCTTGAGTCAATCAAAGGCAAATTTGTAACTTTCACCCTGCAAGGTGATGGCCAGGCTGTTTTAAAGTGGATCCACAGGATGGAGGGCTTCTAACGTCAACTGAGGAAATGATCGGGCGGTGGAAAGAATACATTGAGGAGCTCCTCAATCTCACTAACGCGTATTCCAGTGAGGAAACTAAAGCCGAGGAAACTTAGGATGAATCATTCAGTCTCTGGAGCAGACGTCACAAAGTTATTTCAACATCTATGCAGTGGTGGAGCTCCAGGGGTTCATACCGATGTTCCTCAAGGGTATGGATGCTGTAGATCTTTCTTGGTTGACACACCTGTGCAACATTGCATAGACATCAGTGGTGGTGCCTGTGGAGTGGCACACTCCACTTTCAAGGAGAGGACCGGCAAATGTGTTGCAACTATAGAGGGATCCTTGGAAAGTTCTAATCCAAGGCACTGGAGAGGAAGGTCAATATTTGAATCTTTGCCCAACCAATCCACAATTGTTTTGTGTGTCTGGAGAGAGGTCATGACCGTGTTTTCAGGGGCACCCTGTGGGGGTCCTCAAGGAGTATGGGGTGGATGGCCCCCATTAAGGGTTATTCAGTAATTGTAAAACAAGTGTGTGACTCTGGTCCATGCAGCCTTCTCAGGAACGTAGCCGTCTCTGAGCATGTGGGTGGGGCAAAAGCGATGTGGTGAAGTCTGTGGTGTCCTCCTTAAACGATTAGAAAACAAAAGTGAGCATTGTTGTTTTGGAGACTGGCATGAAGCACACAGCTAGTCTGTGTCGGTTCCGTTCTCCACCAAGCTGACTGCTGGAGATCAGGTCAGAAAAAAATGGTCAGCTGAGCACAAAAAGCACACAGATAATCCAGATGTGAACACAATGACCCTACCAGGGCTGTACTGGGCCAACCCAAATGTGAATGTGCCATTAGCCACATCAACCTGTGACCTTCAATGCTTGCTGGGGAGGTCTGCAGCTGAGTTTGAAGCAGCTGGGATGGAGATCAACATCTCCAAATCTTTCGCTTCAGTTGTTGACAGGGAAAAGTGGAGATTGCCAACTCCAGGTTGATGCAAAGGTCCTACCTTTTTAACCATCTAGCTGTCTTGCTCATGAGTGAGGATAGGAGGGAACGAAACATCCACTGGGAGTTTAGGGCAGCATCTGCAGTGATGTGGACACTGAGCCAGTCGGTTGTTGGAAAGAGGGCGATAAGCCAGAAGACAAAGCTTTCCATTTACTGGGCAATCTTCATCTGAATGCTCACCTATGGCACCCATAACGACCGAAAAAACTAATTTGAAGAGAATGCCCATGAACACTTCCCAGGCTCAAGCATGTCCTGTCAGCAGGAGGCCCCGAGTTGACCCAGGACACATAAAACTGATTATCTCCGTGTTGGCCAAGCATCATCTGGGGATCCTGCTGGTGAAGATGGTGGAGGTTTCCAGAACCTCATTACTGTTACACCAAAACTTCCTCAATGAAGGATTAAAAAAGGAAGTTTCTATTCTATTCTCTTGTTTATTGGGATGAGAAAATCGCACAATAGAAGAAAATACAAGCAGTCTTTTTCTGTTCGTTGGTTAAAAAATGTATTTCTACAAACTTTTTTACTTACACAAGCTTAAACAGGACCAGTCGGGCATATATACAGTACAGATCCTACAGAAAGATGGTAACACAAAATATAAAAAAATATCACTTCATAAAGTTGCAGCATTTGAAATCCAGTATTTTTGATATAATACACACATTTTCAGACACTTAAAGGACACTTTAAATACAAAAACCCAACAATTGCACTCCTTTATACATTCATATAACTGACCAAGAGAGAAACAAAAAATAAAGCAGGCGAGCTTTATGATTCATTTGTCCCAAACAAACACAAAAGAACAGCTGAGACTAAAATGAAATGAAATGAAAATAAATACATAAAAATAAATGTATTTCATTATGAAATCAAATCCTTGCTCTCAAACTACGAGAAAGCTATAATAGACTCTTCCAGCCCTCCTTCTATAAAACAGTGTTATTTACATCTTAAATAATATTGATCTCATCCAGGATCTGGTCAAACTGTGGATTTGGTTTTCTTTTAAGGCTTTCCGGATTATTCTCCATGTCGACACTTTTGACTTCCTGACTCTGGTGAATATTCAGTATGAATGCTCTGCACACAAACTCAAAAGGAGGAAGAGGAATTTACCTCATCACCTGAATTTTCTTTATAGACCTGCCTCTCTGGAAAGGTGGATATTTAAATGTTGTATCTGATGTCGTCCCCAAATCTCATGGTTCTTCTGTCTTTGGTGTTCTCCATTAGAAAACACCTTTTGAAATGCTATGGACTGAAGATTCTTCTTCTCCTCATTCATTTAATGCCTTATGAGCTTTAAAACACGAGTCATCCTGTAGCATCTTAACTAACATCTTCTCGCACATCTTGGGCGCCGAGCTGGTTCCTGTGATGCGGCTGATCTTCTTGAGCCCCTTCAGCAGATGCCGAGGTGCCCCCTGGCTGCGTAACACCCTCAGACTGTGAGACAGACCTTTTGCTAGATCCAGGTTGTGGTTTTCGGATTTCCACAGGTGGAGTACCTGCAGCATGTACTGGCTGGGCAGACAGGTGGAGACGATGGCCCTCACATCCTGCTCCTGAACTCTGACCCCAGGAAGGCTGTTGGTCACCAACATCAGGTCACTGGTGGTGAGGTTTTTCAGAGCGTGACAGCGGGAGACCTTCCTCTCACAGTGGTTCATTCCTGGAGATGAACAACAACGATATTTAGGTAAAACACTGAGTTAAACAATGACACGTGTATGCTGTCCCTACCATGTATGATGCCATAGACTTTGTCTTTGTTCTTCTGCCTCCACAACCGCAGCAGGTGTTGGACCTGCTGCTGGGGACTGCAGGTCTTCTTCATCTTCTCCAGGCTCTTGTGATCCACCTTCTGACCAGGCAGACTCTCCAGCAGTCGCTCCAGAGGCACTGAGGACAGGGACTGGAAGGCCACCTCCTCACACAGAGACACATCTGGAAGGAATCACACAAGACATGTTAAAAAGATACTGGAATTCTGGAATCTATAAACCACAGTTAAGCCAGCCTCGCACTGGAATCCAACAAGCAGCAAAAGGGATTTGTGTGGAAGTTACCAGAGAAATCCTGAAGATTTGGTTTCTCCACAAAAATATTAATTACATGAAAACTAACTGCAACAAATTAAGACAAAATGACAAAATCGAAATGCAGAAATTTGACTGTTTTTCACGAATAGTAAGCCAGCCTAGAAATGTATTTGCGTTTCCAGATACCCTAAAGTGTCATAAGTGTCCATTTAGTCTGATTTCTTTCCAGTTTGCATGTTTTCTTGTACTTTTGTGCTTCAAACTAGTCACCAACAGTCGCACAAAGGGCCCAGTGGGTGGTGAGTGGCTCATGCTAGCTACTCATCAATCATTTTTCTCACCTAAACAGACGGTTTAACAAATACTGGAGCAAATCTTTAACAACGAGGCCTCACCAATGAAGAACCAACATAGCTTGAGAAATCTTACATTTAAAAGTTGTAGTTCTGCTATTTTAACACCTTTATTTGAAGATATACTGCGTGAGTTTTATCCTGTGATTGACCTTCAGCAGAACCTGACTGCTGCAAACTGCACAACAGCCAAAATCCCTGAAGCTCTCATTAGAAGACAGCACTTAGACACCGAGGGCTGTGGGTGCAAGTGGGATGGTGCGGTGGCATCAGCTGGCATAGGCCAGACAATGCCCGCACTGCCCGCTCACCACAGCCATTGAATACACCTCATTAACACACAACACTATATTGGAGCAGGCGGAGGGAGACTAGGGGTCTTAGCACACCTCTATTGTTGCTTGGCTTCCTGGGGCTGGAGGCTAGGAGGGAGATGTGGCCGTCTGGTTGGGGTCTGGGGTGGTAGGTTGCTGTGGTCAGCGTTGGGCGGGGGAGCCTGCTCATCAGCACCCCAGCAGAAAGGGTCAAACTCTGGTAACCGGTGATGGTTGTACCCCATGTGCAGCAGTACCGGGACCAGAGTGAATAGGGTGTGTATGGGGAGCATGAGTGGGTGTCCGGCGTGCATTTTGTAAGTCTTTGGTTGTATGTGTATGTGTGAGCATGAGGGAGGGAGTGTGTGACTGTGTTTGTGTATGACTGTATATGTCAGGTGGGGCCTTTGACTCCTCCCCCCCTTCCCTCCTCCCCCCACCTTTTGTCTTTTCCTTTCTCTTTCACCTCTGTCTCCGTGTCTGGTCGGAATTAAAAAGCATTCAAAAACAATAACAATAAAGTTTGAAGTATCAGGCGTGACATTAAAAGCAGATGCTTTGATGCTCCACCTGAGAGTAAATCTGTAAGGCTTGTTACCAGCATTCAGACATCAATTATGTTTGCTTCACTGCCAGACAGGTTAAAAAAAAAAAAAGAAGAAGAAAACAGCGTATGTTCACAAACAGCAGGGTATTTTTCTGCCAACTTTGAAACTTTGTGAAACCATAAATGTCCCCACTGAGGACAGTCCCCGCTTAGACACGCAGGTCTCAAAGCGAAGAACACGGTCTGAAAAGTTTTCCACTGACATTTATGATGTTTGTGTTGAAACAAAAAAATTGTTTTTACACACAAATACACACAAAAAAAAGATTTATAAGAAAGTAAAAAAGCCTCAGTTTTAGACATTTTATCTTATTTTTTGTCAAAAATGAAAACTTCTTCACTAGAAAATTAGCATCTAGTAAAAAAAACAAAACTGTGGGACACTGAAAACCCATTTTTTAATTATTACTTCTGATTAAAATTATTTTTTATGCAGGCGGAAATGAAAATAGTCTCCTACACCTCTGTCCTTTACTAGCTTACATAGAAAATAGACGGTGAAACTCTGGGATTAGAAAAGCCTTACAGATCTACATCTAGGGATGGTACCTTTGACATTTGAATCGATACTGTACCAATTCCCGGTACCTACAAATTGATATCGGTATTTAATGGTACCAATTTTCGATACTTTGAGTGTTTAATAATAATTTTGTGCTCTTGTGCCGGCGTGCCGCACATTTCATGACATGAATCGGTACTCAGTCGGTACTGTGGAATTCAGTCGGTGCCTTAACTCATTCACTGCCAGCCGTTTCCTGATCACTAACGGCCTTCGCTGCCAGCGTTTCTCACCGTTTTTACTGTTTTTTTAAGAGTCACAGAGCGTTGCGCGCTAGCATGATGTCAATGCCAAAACAACCAAAACAAAGAGGAGACTCACCTCTTACATCAGGAAGAATCCGCGTGTTTCGAGTGTTATCCGTTCTTTCATAATCCATTGTCGAATTGTGATCGGCAGACGCTTTTCCGGGTCGCGCCTCACTTTTTTTACAAGAACGGCCGAAAACAATCTCCAAACACATGGATGTGTTGCTTCCTGATCATGTGATCTGTGACGTATGCGGATGAAGATCGGCTTTAGGGCTGAGATGTTTGTTCTCTCAGCGTGGGGGCTCGTTCCGATGCTCAAACAGTAAAGAAATGCCATATCAGTCGTCATTGGCAGTGAACGGTTGGATCTAAAATGACAACTTTAGTCGTCAATGGCAGTGAATGAGTTAAAAAGTACCGAATTCGGTACCCATTCCTACCTCAGTCACACCGTCACTTAACATTCATGGACTCACCCATGTTGACTCATGACGGGGAAGACTGTTGTTGGTTTAGTGTCCAGGAAACAGCAGAAAATGTCTCCGCTTGTAGAAGCTAACCATTAGCATTAGCTACTACAACACAGCAGAACTCCTCCAGGATTGTGTTATTTGTGGAGATAAAACATCAACGTTGCAAAAGTAAACCGAGCCAGTGGTATAGTCCCATTGTTGTTAGCCAATCAGAGCTGAGACGTCCAAATATCAGGACGTAAGACTTCAAATCCTGCCATCTGAAGCTTTCCTCGGATTTTCTAGTTCCTGAAGCAGGCGTACCAGGGCCTTTTGTACCCAGCGAACTATTTACAAGGCATTCAATCCTACTAGAGACCACAGCAAACTAATTAATCAAACGAGTGAACCACACCTTTAAACCTTTAAAAGTTTTTTGTTTTAAGTAAAAATTTGTATAAATTTCAAATAAATAAACATTTTAATTGATTTAAATGTTTATTTGAACATTAGATGACAAATTTAAAAACAATAAAAAAGATTCATGCAAATATTAGAAGTCTTCTTTTGCTAGTTTTAAGAAGTGTTAGTTTACCCCGTTGGCAGATTTTTTTTTACTTAAAACAAGAAAATTTGGATCATATTTAAAGACATTCACTTCATTTTAACTACTGCTATGTCTTTAGAGAAAAATACTTTTTTATTTTAGACTAAAAAGACAAAAAAAATTCCATAAATGAGGCTTTTTACATTGTTTTTTTACACTTTTTGCAGAGCGTGGAAAAAAATTCTGATCAATTTTGTTTAGAGTTTCTATAAAACACAAAAGTTTCTAAGAAGCAGTTTGAGGTTAAACCTAAAAACAGGTCTTGTCCCATTTCTTTGAAGTGTTGATGATGTAATCATGTGTCGCTGACATATTCTTGGTTAATTCAACGTGTTCACTTTGGGAATCCCACGGCTCTCAGTTTCACGTTTGTTAAAGCTGTTAAAAAACGTGATCCAGGATTAGTTTCAGACTTTTAGGGCTTGAGCACTTCAAAGGACGACAATTTGTGAATGTTTAAGAAACGCACCACCGTCCCTGCTGGGTGACAGCTCAGAATATATTCTGCAGATTATTTGTACCAGCAATTGTGTGCGTGTGTGTGTGTGTGTGTGTGTGTGTGTGTGTGTGTGTGTGTGTGTGTGTGCATGCGTGCGTGCGTGCGTGCGTGTGTGTGTGTGTGTGTGTGTGTGTGTGTGTGTGTGGTTTTCTCAGGCTTGGGGATTTAATTTCATATGTGAGGCTTCCTTTTTCTAATGAGTTTTAGTCCCTGCCATAGTTTAGTTGTGAGTAACAAAGCCTAAAAGCTCCTTTTGTTTCTCATGTTCTGTGTGACTCCGTTTCCTCTGTTGTTGAGTATGTGACAGCTTAAGGACTAATTGATCCATCATGTCTCGTTTTAAAAGCCGTGTCATAAACATCCACTACAACCCCTGGCTTTTCTCTTGCTTGTGTCGGTTTTCCAAGCATGCAAGAAATTAGGAAAAGAATGGAATCTGAACGACAACACTGACCGAGGAAATCCCCTCCGCCTTCAGGAATGAAAATGACCACAAGTCTGAAATGATTCGGTTCTGACTGATTTTAGGTTGTTGACAATTGAGGTTTACTCAGAAACAGTCGTGTGTGAGTCGGGGGTTCAGTATGTGCTGGAAGTGAAGTAACGACGGCTACCAAAAACTCTGTGTGCCACTAAGGAATTACAAATGATTCAGGGTTTTGTATTGTGGATGTTCTCACCAGTACGGCACAAGCTGAGGTGCTGAGAGCACCCCAGCATTGCTTTCCTGTCCTGAGGTCCACAGAGGCTGTCTGAAGTGGACGTGCCCCATCGGAGTGTCTTCAGGCCAGAGTCCGAGCAGTTCCTGTGAGGTTGGCACGGATCAGCGGGAGAGCTGCCGGTGGAGAAATAACCATCGGGACAGCGTTCACACACAGTGTCGCTCACCGGCGTTCCTGGAAAACAAGTTCCTTTATTCTTTTCTTCATATTTTATAATAGAATTAATTTTGTACATCACAACTACAAAATGAAATACTTCAGAGGGAAGACAATAAATACAAACGCAAAAAAAAACCCTTTTGAGGCAGCAGCTAGATTCCAGAAACAAGGTGAACGTCTTAAAACAACTCCTATCTCACAGCGGCTCATGTCGTGTTACACAGTTGTAGAAGGTCAACTCAGAAGTTGACCTTCTACAACAAGAAGAAGTCCTGCCAGACGTTCCTCAAAACTGTGGTTCATACACTGGCTCTGCAAAAATAAAGTTACCACCGAACAAAGGTCACACACTGTCACGGCACGCATTCGCTGTGGCGTTGTTTTGATCAGCTTCTGCAACGTCACCAGAGTTAATTCTGTCCAGTGTTGCATTAATGTTTCACCAAGATGTTGCGTTGATGACGGTAGCCTGACTTCTGCACAAAGCCTTCTGCAGCACATGACTCTCAATGGGGTTAAGGTCTGGACTCAGTGGTGACCAATCCATGTGTGAAAATGATGTCTCATACTCCCTGAACCACTCTTTCACTATTTGAGCCTGATTAATCCTGGAATTGCCATCTTGGAACATAACCGTGCCATCAGGAAGATGGAAAACCTGGTCATTCAGGATGTTCAGGCAGTCAGCTGACCTCATTCCAGATCCAGATCCAGGTGACAGCTTATTAATTTATTTATTAGATTGTTAATTTGTTTATTCATTTATTTATTTATTTGTTTATTTTTATATATTTATTTTTTCATTCGGAGGGAGAACAGGCAGAGTAAAAGAGCAGGTATGAACTTTCCCACCAGTTGCAGCAGTTTAAATCAATATTGTAGATTTTTAAGCTAAACTGCTTTTTAATTGCTCTTTTTTACTCGATCCTCTTCACAGAGAAGCTGCAAAAAGCCGCGGCCTGTGCGACACGTGCCGTGTAAACGATGCAGAGCAAACCTTTCTTTCATTTGAACTCCGATACCTTCACGTTTGGTAAACGTCTATCTGGGCTGAACCCAAATGCTGTCAGCTAGACTTTCATATGAAAACTTCCCGGGACAACACATTTGAACAAAAAATCAGACTTTCCTGTAAAAAAAAAAAAGGGCAGAACTAAAAGTTTTATTCTCATCTGCAGCTGAGAGGTTTTAAAGATGTTACGAACATGACTTAAATCTTTCCATAATCAGTGACTCTTAGAACTCTCACACGCGTGACAACCCATCAGCAGCACATGTGATGGTAACTGATACCTCAGAGGTGTATTGGAGCATTTTTCCCACAGTGACGCTGAAATAAGTCAACAGTTTCAGCGCACCGCTGCTTTACGTGTACCAGAACTTCAGCGTAGTATTCACATTCTGCGACATGAGTGTGACATCTCTGGGCTGAGCCACGTGTGTGAGACAACACGTGGTAACCTTACAGTAAACGTCCTGCAGCTTCCACATGCAGAGCTCATGACGGAACCAGCGTTGTGATCACATCCTCATTTTACAATCAGGGCGGTAGAAGTGAAAGTGCGTGGGATGCTTCTATCAGTTTCCCGCTATCACAGCACACGCTGTGCTTTCTTTTCATCTTCAACATAAAAACATAAAAACCACCAGCTGAACGCTTCCTGTACTAATGTCGCTGAAGCAGTGCACATCTGACAGCTCACTCAAAATTAATGCTGACATGTAAATTCTCAGAATTTCCTTCATGCAAAATCAGCGCTTCAGGTGAATTATTTTAGATTTCATTTTAAACAAAATTTCCCCCGCTCACTCCCGTTCTAAATAAATATTACAGCTAGCTATTTTTAATATTTTTTCCTGATTTGTAATATTGTTTTTTCATACTTTTAAAGAATTTGGGCTATTAATAATTTTAAATATCATTGGTTGGTTTATTATTAAGTACTTTGGTTAATGCTGGTTAAATTTGCTTTATGAAAAATGTTGATTTGATAATGTTTTGATGTTTTTTCCTCCTTGAGGGAAATTTATCACTTCCTTCTATAATCTAACAAATCAAGCAAATAATGTACAAAAACATCACATTTATATTTTCTAGTGCATTGGCTATGATCTAATGCCAATTAAGATTCTAATTAAAATGAATGGAACACCTGCAAAGCCAGAAATGACCATGAGCTCAGGGGGAAAAGGAAGGAGTCACAAACAGAATGTGATTTTAGGAGCCTGAAGCAGAGTCCTGTGGTTTAAAAGCAGAAGCCACTTGAAGCAGAGGCCTCACATAAGAAGTCGTCCAGCTTCAAGGGGGTCAGGGGAAACCCCCTAAACTTCTGCTGAACTAAATCACACACTCCAGCTGTGGATCCATTTGGAAATTGTGTCACATTTCTGAAAAACGTCAGCTGACAGAGGTCCGCTGATGACCAGAGTCGGAGGGGAAAATGTCGTCTCATCTTTGTGGTGACTGGTGTCCGGTTCAAGGATCAAAGTTCAGGTCTGCAGATGTCCGGCATCCTTTTAGGGGTTAGAAATAATAATCGCTGACACAGCAAAAAGAAGATCTGGAGGAAATAGCAGATCCAAAATGACGACATGGAACATTCCACTCCAGATTTCTAAATATGTGACTAACAAGCAGCTGAGGACAAAATCCATTTGGCTAATCTCAGCACTTAGCTTTGATTCATACTCGCAGTCTTTCTCTCTTAGGGGCGGGGAGTTATTCACCATCAATTAATTAGAAAAAAATTATGCTTTAAAAAACTGACGCCTGAGCCAGAGCACCCCCCAATTGGGGAACAAAAAAGTCTAGCTTATAAGTGTGCTGCACATCTAAAGAATAACTGCAGTGACCATATAAACTTTTTTACGTGCTCTAAACACAACTAAAACTATAATTTAAGGAATCGTGACTAATTGCTCTTCATGAGGGGAAAGACAGGAAGAAAATATCAACTTTTTTGCTTTTATGTTTTGGTAGAAAGCAGGCAGGAAGTAACTTTATCCATATGAACATACAGCAGGAGGGAAATAAGACACAGCCTTTATCTTGTAACTCTCAGCAGAACTTCCCCTGAACTCTACACTACACCTCTAAATATATTATTATCTAATATTATATGTTCCGTGTCCATTCATCACATAACACATACACTAATATTTACACGTCCCAATAAATCCCACAATGGTTACCTTTATAATGAGACCCAGTTAATCAAATAGACCTTGTGGTTACAGAATTATACTCATTAAAGTGTGGGTATGTCATCTAAAATCGTTTTAATAAAAACAATTGCTTGAGGATGAATTGTTAAAATTTTTAAATAGGATTAATTAGGATGGATTGAGTAATTAATTACAAAGCCTCTGATTAATTAGATTATTTTATTATTCACAAATATATATGCTGGGCACGGCAAGAACTTAACACTAAACAAAAATGTCACATAATTATCTGTTATCAACTTCAGAAAAACCACCACTTAGAGACGCATCCTTGTTCTTCTGATTGATGTGCATTATCATGATCAGACATCTTCTAAGAATCAGAAACACTAAGAAACGTAGACAGCGAGGGCAGAAAAACTTCAACCAAAAGCAAAAAGTTTTCTGAGAATTAAAACTAAGTTGTATTCACGGACGACAGAAGCTGTCTTTGAGTTTCAATCTTGGTAAAAACCTGAATTCCAGAAACAAATCTGATTTAGGAACTCAGGTTTAGAGTGAAAGGGTAGTTCTTTTGGTGCTCACCTCCCCTTTCTTTTTGTCTAAATCAAATAGGATACATCTGTTATTCTCATGTTCACGTTTTACCAGGATCAACAAAATAAAAGGTGCCGTTTACTCAGGATGTGACGTAGCTCAAACAGAAATATGAATATAGTAAACAATAACCCACAAAAATAACAAATTGTAAAAAAATATAAACAGATGAACCAAAACAAAAATTATTAACTCCAACTCTACTCTATAATATACACAAGTGTTTAAGAGCTCTATCTCTTTAATAGGATTAGTACGTTCCTCAAAACCTGCTGTACTGAATCTGTTAATTCCCTCTGCTGGAGAATCTAAGAACTACAGGTGACACATGGCGACTGGATTTTCATCTACCTCTCTGTGACTCTGCATCTGCTCAGGAGGGCAATGGCTACTTTGGCTCTATAAATGTTATTATATTTCAACTTTGTGAAAGTTTTTTTTAAATTAAAACATTTTTTTTTACGTTCATTAGTTGTTATTATTTTTACTTTACTTTTTACTGTTGTCGTCTATAACTGTGGGCTTCATGAGCTCCTAAAGAGAAAACGTAAAACCTGCTTTGGTCTCAAGAGGATATAAACCTACATTTATACAATGTATCTATTTATGTCCAGTGCTTCTATTTTTTAAAATTCTAAAAAAAAAATTAAAAAAAGTTAGTTGTTTTTTATACAATTCTGACATAATTTAGGATGATAAAGTTTCATCATGTCTGTTCTGCAGGAAGCCTGCGTTCCACCTAGGAAACTGTTCATAATAATACTGTGATGCCATTTAAAATGAAAGCTAGTGTGTGATTACATATTTAATCTCTATGGTGACAACTGAACGCACAGGAGAGGCTGAAAATACTCAAAACACAACACGATCGGATTGGCCGCGGCAGATCTCTGGAGTCAGACTGAGACGACCTCTTGGAAAGAGTCAGCCTGAAAAAATGTCAGTTCTTATGCTTACTTTAAGAAAATAAAAAGTGACATCTGGAACACATCTGGCTTACAGAGAAAGGCTTCCAGTGATACATCAAAGAGATTTTCCACGATATAGATTCAACTGATGCACGTTTCTGCCCTGACAGCACGAGTCAGACAACGGGAGCACGTGTTGACGTTGCACTTTCTGAGTGGAATCAAAATGATACGCTATTGTTTTGTAAACAGATCAACTAATCGAGCAACCAATAAGAATCTTACCTAATGTTTTGACCCCGGAGCCCGGAGGACAGCTGCTGTGTGTAATGCAGAACTCCACCACTAGATAGAACCCTGGAGCGCACTCACACAGCTGGTCGTGAGTGCTGTTGCACTGCTGTTTCACCAGCTGCCGCTCCTTACACACCTGAACACATCACACAGCGGCAGGCTACGGTCACACAAAGCTGATTTATAATCTGTACAATGTGCAGCTCCACCATATGTAGTTCCAAACTCGTGTGAAAAGGTTAAAAAGGTGATTTTACAACTTCTCTGGAGACTTATCAGCTTAGACATCACAAGAAGGGAAAGAAAATCTGGAAAAAAGCTAAAGAAAGAAGCATAAAAAGAGACTAGAATACATTTTTAGAAAATGCATCTAAACACTGTATTTCTAAAGAACATGAGGTTACATTTATATCCTAAATCTGAAAGACTGATCCTGTTTTTGGATGACGTGAGACTGAGGTCTTGCATACCGAGGTACAGTACTGGCACGTGTCCCCCCAGTGCCAGTTCTCAGCAAAATGTCTCTCAGGACAGGGCTGGCACTCTGTGGGCGTGTCTGCGGTGCAGTGTTGTTTCAGCGACGTCCCTGGAGGACACTGGTCGCACAACAGCAGGTCAGACGTCCTGGGGTCTCGGTACTGGTACTTTAGAGGGGCAGCGTGTTGCTGAAAAGCCCAGGAAAAGGAAGCTGTGAAAAGCTGCAAGAGAGAAATGAGTCAGCATAGCGGAGATTCAACTGCAGAGACAAAAATGTGTCATTAAAAACGCCACGTGTGCAGCTCCTCTGTGGATGCAGGGTAGAATGTTTTAGTTTATTGTGAAGTTCACACAAACCCAAAACCTCACGCAAACACAAGAGTTCAAAGAAAGGTTAGGTGTTGCCCCAACACAGCGTTTTTATTTTAGAGGATCAGACTTTATTAAATATTTCCGACACTTTTAAACTGGTCGAAATGCTTCATCAAAACTCTGCGAAACGTCTGAAGTTGAGTCATGAACTGAAGGTAGGAGCAGATGTTGGTGCGGCTTTGGGACAGACGTGTTTATTCATTAACAAACCCACATGTCATCGCCTGAGCATGAGGTGAAAAGCTCTGGTCAGATGTCTCTGATACGCCACATTGTCTGCTAAGCGTGTTTGACATGAAGCCGGACCGGGCCACATGCGGACCAGATGTCACACACCGCCGAGGGCTTCTGCCGTCGGCCCTGTGGACTTTCCCGTTGGCTCGTTTTCATCTTCGCAGCTCGGACAGCGAACAATAGAACCTGCATCCTTTGTGTTTGTACATTCTCTGAGCTTGCATCCTCAAAACCCAGTTAACTCATCCAACAATCGAGTAGAAAACATTTTGTGAAGTAGTGTTTGTCAGATGTTTGTTGAGGTTCTCGCACGATTACCGTCTTCCTCAGAGTTGGTTTCTGTGGCCCCCTCCGGCTGCTGCACGTAGAGAGGGCCGCTGGAGGTTAGATCTGGACTTCCCCCTTTTGCCATCAGAGTACAAACCACTCATCCCCTCTGGTCTTCACTTCACCAAACCGCACCCTAGTGATCTCCGCTCTGCATGTTTGTATTCATGTGTCTGATCTACTTTAAAACTCTCAGCCACAAAACCTAATTTGAGCATGGAACCGAGTGCTGATCAGAAGCCAGGCGAGCGTATTTTTTTACGATGAATTTATCTGTTTTAAATCATGAATGCATGTGTGTTCATGTCTGGAGGAGATAATATGCTGAACAGCTGTTCTCCCCGTTTGCCTCGTGCTGCTAAACAGGCTGTTTTTGCCCCAGCGTGCAGCAGCATCTGTGCTCTCACCTAATAAGTCGTTGCTACATGTGTCCGTTTATTCTTTATTCAAATAGACTGGTTCTTGGTGCAGTGGGGTTCGATGAAATAAAACTGTTTAAAAAACTGACAAAAAAGCAGATGAATGCTTTTTACGCACCACGATAAAAAACTACGCTTCAAGCAGCCTGGCGAGCACGTCGCTCTTCCCGGCAAAACCTGTCGGCCTCTAAAGACAGCGCTTCAGAGGAGGCTTGTTTGTAATATGGGTGGCCCCATCAGCAATCAAACCCATAATCACTGCTTCGTTCTTCAAATTAAGAAGTGCACGCACACGCACACGCACACACACACACGCACACGATTAAACTATGGGGCCACGTCCTATTACTTTAGGAGCTTCAAGAACCACTGATGGAGCAGCAGAGGGTCATCTAAGGGGCTTCTTCTGCAAAGATCTAGATGAAGTTTCACTTCTTGTCTTTGCTTAAATCTTAGGATAAAGCCACGATGACTTCGGTGTCTGGGATGTCTGCTTCAGGCAAAGGCGGTGAATCTGAGCAGAGGTCAGGATTTCCTAGCTTAAGCTCCATTTATATTGTAAAAGAATTAGAATAAAGGATCGTCTGCTTTCTCAGACACAGCCTGGTGACTGGGTGGAGATCCCTAGTCATCAGCTTTCTTGTGGCACCTTTACAGATGCGGATGATTGCAATACATTTATTAGGGAATGAAGACACCATTCATGATGCATACGATCTAATATCTCTGACTGAGACCCGGTCTGAAGGATATCAGTGCAGCCACAGCCCAAAGCCCAACAAAACCTTTGCAATAAGAAATGTGAAGAGAACCAAGTAAAAAAAATGTTAAAGCTGCTGCCGGTGACTCATTAAGCTCACTTTAGTAACCACCAATGGCTCAGTAAGGTCATCATGTACACCACACCTGTCTCGTGCTCTGACAGTAAACCTAATGGCAGACAGGAACGCAGACTAAAGGGTTTCAGACGGTGGCTGTGAGAGAACTGTTGGTTGTGGTGAAGTCATTCTGGAGGTTAAATCGGTGGATTCTGCTGTTTCTACAATGTTACCTGTTACGACATCTTCCCCCCGCTAGCTGAGAAGAGAACGAGACATAACTGAAATCTAAAGAAAATCAGGCGTGCGCCGCACGACACTCTGAGGGAGTTTGAGAGAAAACTGAATGACCTGCAGCAGAGAGAAAGGGTGAAAGGAGACAAGAAGAGCTTTGTTTAGATGAGTCTTTTACTTTTGTACTAAGACATTGTTGGAGTACGCAGTTTGTTGCAAGAAACTCCTACATTTTTAAAGACTTCGAAGGTCATGACATCATCAGCCATCAGCTGAAAAATCTGTTAGAAAACTCCCAAACTGTGGCTGAGAAGGAGAAAGGAGATCAGGAAACCATTTGAGTCGTCCAGGTTCAGTCCAGTTTCTGTGGCCTGTTTAAAGTTTGAACGATGTTTCTACTGTGAAGCGTGGCTGAGCAGAGGAGCTCCAAACACCGCTGGATTCTCCCACCTGAGTCGCAGAAGTCCTATTGTGGGTTTTGGGGAAATTGTCTCAGAACTGTTACCAAACTTCTTAGCCCACAATTCTCCACTGGACCACACTTCTTGATATATAATTTTCACTTTTGTTGTCGTTTTTCAAAGCTGCAGCACCTGAAAATGCACAATCATCACGAGCAGAATTCTTGTGAGGGAGCTTCTGTGTTCAGAATTAGCACCGCAAATCATTTTTAACTGGAAACGGTCAGATTTGTTGCTTACAGTTTGAAGTTAGTTTTTAACTCGTGCATTCTGTTTCCACACGACCCAAACAGCAGCTTTCTGCAGCGTTTACAAGTCATCCTGTTCTACCACTGGCTAAAAGAGGTGCTGACCTTTTTTGACCTCTTGTCACCTTAAGAACCAGCATTTAAAGACATCATGGACAACCACTGGAAGTCTAAATTACACAGCAGCCAGAAGCAAATGACAAACATAATTATACCGCTTCCATCTTCAGAGAAAGGTTAGCAAAAAGCTGATCGTAAACGGAGGAGGAGCAGTTGAGAGGAAACGGCGGATAATAATAATTTCTTTCCACATGACCTGTGCAGACGTCCTGAAGCAAGGCCGGGCTGGCGACAGCTGTGAGGCTAAAACAATGATAGAGGGCCGAAACAAGAAACTGGATCGTGTTTGAAACAATCACTGGGATTCAGACGGATGTTTAGATGCTGCAGATGATGTCTGGCGAGCAAAGCTCGTCTCATTCTCTGTTTATGCATCTCTGCACTGATGTACGTTGTCAGGAAACAACAGTGGCATAAAAAGCAGAGCATGGGGTGGACTGAAAGACTTTTGTTATGCTTTCTCTGACAAATCTAATGACTGAGTGATTTAACGAGGCCTGCTTTAAGCAAAGCACAAGAGGTGAACCTAACACTCAGCAGAAAATACGCTTTAAAATGCAAAGTTTGCAAATTAGTCGTTAACATGGCGTCTGCAGCTAAACTACACAGAAATATTATTTCATTTAACCACCTTCCTGAACATGAATTTCAGAGTTGGACCTACACTGAGCTCTGACCGTATGATATGTAACTCTAGATGAGGTTCCATGCTTCGCTGATCTGAGGTCAGTTTTAAAGTCAGGGCACGAGGAGAGCAGCCATGGCACAAAAGGACCAAACCACACCGGCTCATCCACCGAGCACATGGATTCAGTTAACTGCAGAGTGCAGGTGGTCTGAGGGGGGATTCCAGCTCCCGTGCATGTGTGTGTGTGTGTGTGTGTGTGTGTGTGTGTGTTTGCGTGCGCGCATGTGTCTGCCCTTACATGAATGCGGGATCAGTTTTTTTTTAACCCACACTGAGATCTGGAGAAACTCTGCAATGCCACATCACAATATACATCATCTTCATGCAGGGGGTGATGGAGCCGTGCCACAGTGCATAAAACGCCGTTCATATTTAAAACTGACATTTGCCAAGAGTTTATGATTAAATGTGCAATCAACTTTCCCCAGGAATCCGGCAAAAAGGCAAAACATTGAATATTTTCAGATTGTATTTCTAGGAAATCAGTCATTTGGTGCGTTTCTGACGGCCAGATAAAACAAGTCGTCTGAATGAGTCCAAATTGGCTTGTTGAAATCAAATATTATATGAAGTAATTGTGTCAGAGTTAATGACAAAAGCAAACAGCAGATTGTTAATAGAAACCCTGAATATGGTCGGTAGAAAAAAGTCATCATTTAGTCTAGAAAGGCTACAAAGTGGTAAAATTACCCTTCGTAAATGTTTTGATTCTGTATCGCGATCATCATTACACCATGTGATTTATCTTGTAGTAAACCACACCACAATGTTTATTTTAACATTAGAAATAAAAAAAAGAAGAAAGTTTTGAGCATTCTGGATTATTTTGCTGCATCGCTGCAAAAGAAGCATCAAACTTCTAAACCAAACTTTGATTTAGACAATAAAATCCACGATGTGCTCCATCAAGTCAAGCATTTAAAGTGTTGGCCGTGTAAAACCGGCTGTGTGAATTCCAAGTCAAATTAATCAGCCTCTCAGAACGCCAAATCAAGTGTTGCAGCAGAAATTTGCATCGGCACGGCCTTCCTGTCTGCAACAGCAGAAAGATCAAAGCACGGATGGGGGCAGAGAGGAACATTCGTGCATCTTGCGCATCTCCTTTGGGTTTTTCCTGCTCACCACACTAATAAACACCATCTCGGGTACATGCATCTGCTGTCAAAGGAAAAGGGGAAGTTTGGTGAAAGAAAGCAGCTTCCATGCAGTTCAAAAGTGAAAAACGGGATCCCTCACTCTCACACAAGCGTGTTTTTGTGCCTCCCCTCTCTACTCTAGTTGCTTCTTACCTACCCCGTCTTTCATTTGCACATCTAACAGAAAAACAAAAACAACAGTAAAAGGTCCGTTTCTCCAGCTAACGGATCCCCCCTCAGGTTCTTTACACTACGTGTGAACCTGCGGCCAGGTTTAGGGAAGTTGGAGAGACCAGAGCCAACGGCCACAACAGAGAGTGAAGGAGGAGGCGGCATAAAGATAAGAAACGCTGATAACTGAAAACCCGGGACAACAGAAAGGGATTAGGCTCACTTCTGCACAGGGACGAAATGTGGAACCATCATCCCAAAGTCAGGCTGAATAACACAGCTGCACTGTTTTAGCTGCTTATAAAACACATTTTCTCATCCAAACAGACTTATTCCACTGACTTCATCCAGGAAAAGGAGCCCAAACAAAAAAGTGTGTTTGAACAGGCACGTTTATGCCGTGTGAGAGAAATTAATGTAAGGATGAGAATGTGTCCTCACACACATTCATTTGCATGTTGCTGTGAGCACAACAAAGCAACACAAACAGAACCACCAACTGACCACGCTCTGTCCAAAACACGGCCCCTCTCTCTCTCTCTCACACACACACACAGACACACACACACACACACACACACACACACACACACACACACACACACTCAGCTGCTTCACACACACACACACATACAAACACCTGGACCACAAAGAGAGATAGTGGAACAAGTGTTTAGGAGGTACACAGAGTGAGAGCTGTTGCTGACCTGATACCCATCTCACCATATGCAAACCTGGAAAGGCTCCAGTGGAACGCTGCATGCAAAGCACAGAAAGGAGAAGAGCATTTAAAGGGCCACTTTTATAAGACCAAATATCAGCTTACAATGAAAGAGTGTCCACATTGGGAATGGTTGTGAGGAATTTTCACAATAAAACTGACATTAAGTAACGAAACATGCTCTTATTTTGCAGCACTATGCAACATTAGGGGGAAAACACGCAGGTAGTCAGGTGCAATAATCTGCACGCGCTAATTACACTAGAAAAAAATGAAATGTGTTTGAATTTAAAGCAAAAGGCTGAGGACACGCTGACAACCGCTCCGCGTAATAACCTGACCATCCTGCAACGACGTGCGCTGCCGCAGCGCGTGGGTTGTCGGAATCGTTTGCATTTTACAATTTTGTCTTGTAAATGTTTGCACAGTGGCTGATTTACTGAACCAGTTTTCTTTTATTTCAAATTGAGCGCATAGTAAAAAAAAATAAAAGAGATAGACAGATCTGGTGTCAAACGATCCTAAAAAGGATTCCCTGTCCGTAGAGTGACGCGTGCGCTCCACCCGCAGAGATCCAGGTTACTCACCACCATTAGTTTCATGACCGGATTGGATTTCACTATCTCTGAGCTCATCATCCTCCTTTCTGCGTGAAAGTGAACCGCTGTGTGATGGGGTCTCCATAACAGATCCGCTCTTATACGCTTCAGACGGAGGAAGAGAGAGAGAACGCGCGCGAGCTGCGTGTGTGCCCACCCACAATCCAGAAAGTGCGCATGTATACGCAAAGAAAAAAAAGCGGGGGGAGGACAGACAGACAAACCAAAATCCACAGAAATCAAAGTTCAGAGCAAATTCATGCCGTTCGGATGAACTGGAGCTCTGATGTTCCTCCTGAGGAAACACCCAGCCTAATTATATAAAAGCAGTGCAAACGTTCAAATCTGCGTCATGTGTGACGGTCAGGGCTCCTGTGGGAGGCTGCTTGTAAAAGATTCATTTAATTACATTTAAGTAAACAAGATAAAATAAAAAGTATGATTTACATTTTCGAAGTCACTTTTTACCACAGATTTCTATCTGAATTATTACACGTGTTTACACAGGATACATTTTACAATTGAAATGATTACTTAGAATTTGAATCTAAATACACTGCCTGGCCAAGAAAAGTCCCCACCAAATAAAAAGGCCGCAAATAAATCTTTTGTTGGACCGCCTTTAGCTTTGATTACGACACACATTCACACAGGGGCGGATTTAGCAATTTGGGGGCCCAAGGCGAACACAGACATGGGGCCCCTTACGCTAAATTATCGACAATCTTACCTTTAACTGGATTTGCGAAACTCTCCCCTCTTCTGACATGAGTTATTTTCCCTTTTTATTAGTCCTCCCCTTTTTTTCCTGTATTTCTCTCCCTTTGAGTGCCTTCAATATTTGCTCTGCTTTCTTCTTCCTGTCAGTGTTCTTGTGCTTTAGCCTTAGTTATTTTTTCTATTTTCCATTTTGGTCTATGTTTTCCTCCTTTGAAACATTTTCCATTGTCTTTCCTTTCTGCCTCCTTTTGATGTTTACATCGAGAAACGACGTCACTTTCAGAAGTGAAGATAAAAGCTTTTATGAAGCAAGCAGCTTCTTTCTCTTATTGGAGCCACTAGGATAACTCTGTTCATGCTAAATGTTTTGAGTATCACTTTGGGTTTGTTACGAACGCTCCCGCCTCTCTTCTTATTCTTATTTGTGGTCTTATGGCACTTGGCAAACAACAATTTGGTGCATTACTGCCACCAACTGGATTGGAGGGGAATGACTACCAATCACTTCCTGTTTGTGTATCACCATCTTAATAACCCTCTTATGACCATAATTATAACAGGGCCGCCTGGTATTTTTTAAAATCTTATGGCTGTAAAATTGTAATAAAAAGCGCAAAGTGTGTGTAACTCTGTTTTTTTTTTCAGAACAACCTCCGCTATTAGTGTATGGTTTGTATTTAGAATGTATTTCTATTAAAGCCTTTTAAAAATCAGCTTAAAAGTGAAAAAAGCAAAAAACGCATTTGAATTTTTTACATTTATTACTGAACAGGAACTTCAAAATTACTGGGCAAACAATTTAAACTTTGAACTGTAATGCATCTAATCCTAAAAAAGTGTGAACCATGGTATATTTTTAGCAGTTTTTAAGACCATTTATTTTTGTAAACTTTCAGACGTTTTTATTTGATGTGGTAGACCTTGAAGCAGTTTCTCTCCAGCTGCAGGCAGAGTCCCGCACACCTCACACTGCCATGGGGTGCTTCTCTTGCACACGTGCACTGATATACCAAAAACTTTTGTTTTAGCAAAAATAATTATTTATTGTAAAAAGATAAATAATGCCGGAATGAAGCTGAATCTTACAATTAGCAAATTGTTGAGGGTTGTTCAAATAAAAAAATAAAATATAAAGACAGAACAAACATTCATGCCCAGGTTCACCGGAGATCTGTCGTTCTTAGTGGTCACTGTCTTCAGATATAAGCCTTCTGGGACACCTAATAGATCGTGTTGATTTTCTTTGAGGCATTTCCATAATTTCATGCTGGTTTTTATGCTGATTAGCTTCCCCGTTCCGTTATCCGCTTTCAGCGCGGCGCTGCGCTCCGTTTCAATCAGGCTGTACAGCAGGATTTCCCCTCGTAGCGATATTGTCCATAACTCTGATTGCTTCATGCTATAGATTGTTGGAAAGCTGCTTTTATGTACTTTTAGGAACCGTTGGAATTTCCTAGATCTGATCAGCCATTCAAAAGTTATAAAACGGAGCATTTTGGATGACAAACTCAGCACGTCTCTGAAACTGTGTTGTGATTCATTGCGCTCAAGACAGGGAATCCCGGCGGCTACCGTAATGTCTTGTATATGCACGAATAGCTCCATTTTATATCTTTTCAGCACTTTTGGAATTTTAATGATATCTTGAACAGTTCAGGAATTATGGTAATGAGAAGTGCACATGTCCAATCCCGTCTGTGGCCACAGGTTGGTAATAAGAATATTGTGGCATTAACAGAGGGGTGCCGGCGGTCAGGGCTAGGGGACCCCCCAACACAAGGGGGCCCCAGGCGGCCGCCTACCTATGCCTAATGGTAAAACCGCCTCTGCATTCACCGAGGCGTTATTTCGATAAGCTTCTGCAGTGTCACCACCAGAGTTATTTCCTGTCACGCTCTGTGTCCCTCTGGTCCTCGGCCCCTCCTGTTCTCACTCCAGGTTCTCCTCTTGTGTCTCATTATGATCCCCAGCTTTCTCCAGGCTTCCCTCAGGTTTCGTCCCAGCCTCTCCCTGGTAATTCCTATTTTGATCTTATATTAGTCCTCCTCCTCCCTCTAGTTATCAGTTGTTTATATTTGCCCTTGGTCTTTAGGTTTAGTTACTCCGTGTGTAATAGGTCAATGTTTATCTTCCCTCCTGCTTAGTTCTTTTCCCCATTTAGTTCATTGAATGCACCTGCCTTCCCTCCAGAATCTCACTCCTCACACCTGTCACCTGTTCCCCTGATTACCTCCCTCTGTGTTTAAAACCCTGTCTTGTCCCTCAGTGTTTGTCGGTCCATTGTTGTCAGCGTGTTTTGTTTCCCCCGTGTAAACCTTAGACTCCTGCTCATTTAGTAACCTTCTGATTCTTTCATTTGTTCCTGATACCTGGCTTGGCTTCCTGTCTGTGATTTTTGGATTATTTCCCAAAATAAAGGATTCTACCTTTTTTCAATTACTCCTGCCTCATGTCGTCTGGTGCCCTGCATCTCGGGACCTACTCCTCCTGCTCCGAAGCTGACATTTCCATCCAGTGTTGCATTAATGTCTCACCAAGATCTTGCATTGTTGATGGTAGAGTCCGACCGCTGCACAAAGCCTTCTCCAGCACATCCCAAATATTCTCAGTGGGGTTAAGGTCTGGACTCTGTGGTGGCCAATCCATGTGTGATTATTCCCTCATGCTCCCCGAACCACTCTTTCACTATTTGATCCTGATGAATCCTGGCATTGCCATCTTGGAATATGGCCGTGCCATCAGGGAAGATGGAATAACCTGGTCATTCAAGATATTCAGGTAGTCAGCTGACCTCATTCTTGGAGCACATCCTGTTGCTGAACCTAGACCTGACCACCTGCAGCAACCCCAGATCATAGCACTGCCCCCACAGGCTTTTACAGTAGGCAGTAGGCATGAAGGGTGCATCACTTCATCTGCCTCTCTTCTTATCCGGATGCACCATCACTCTGGAAGAGGGTCCATCTCAGACCAGTTTTTATGAAGCGTTTTAAAGCGTTGGACAGTTATTCACCCAGTTTTAGTCGTTTCTGCATCTCCTTAGATGTTTTCTCTGCTTGGTGCCAATGATCCGACCCTTCTCACACAGACTAAAATCTTTTCCACGACCACCAGATGTGTCTTTCCACATGTTTGTTTAACAAATGAGAAGTGACTCATTGCACCATTTAGGGTTAAAAAACTTGATGTCAGCTGAAAGACAATCACCCATGCAGTAATTAGGAGGCTCCTACCTGTTTGCTTGATTAGGTGGTGACAGTTTTTGGACAGATAATTTATATAAATTTACATCTAAAAGATAAAATCAAATCTAAATGTAGAAGGTTTAATTCTATAATTTAAAATTCAATTCAGGTGGCTACATTGAAGGAGAGTGAATTGTCTCTTACCATCACAGAGACTCTCAGAATAAAAGACCGCTTCTCTCGCTTCTTTAGTATATTTCTTTATTTTGGTAGATTCCTTTAATCAGACGGTCTGAATTTGCACGTTAGCAACAGTAATTGTGTTTAGAATTGCTACATATTTATTTAGATTCAATCATAGACATGTAATATAATGGTGGTGGTCGGAGGGATAAGTGGTGCCTGTGCTCGGCAGCCTCGCCTGTCAGTGTGCCCCAGGGCAGCAATGGCCTTATCGTAGCTCATCACTACCAGCGTGTGAATGTGTGTGAATGAAGCGCTTTGGAATCCTCTGACTCTGAAAGGCACTATACAAGTGCAAGTCATTTAATGTTTATCATAATTCTGGACGTAGCACCGCCACATTAGCTAGTCATGCTGGTTTCCTGTGGAGCTAAAAAATGGACCACTAAAATACAAGCAGAGCTTCAGACCAATGTGATCGGAACCAGGCACCCTGGCTGCTTACGTCAGCTTGTGCTCCATCACGGTTGCAGATCAGTGAGACATTACCAACATGCTAACTCAAAGCTAACAGTTTTTCTGGGCACTTTTAGCAAGAAAAATGCGATTGAGTAACTACAAAGTGAAGGCACTTCCGGCCTGCTGGGTAACAAAACTAAAGCTAGGTAAGTTGACTGAGGATGGTAGAGGTTATCGGGTTTCACCAGTCCACCCCAGCCAAAGATCCGCAAGGCCGCCATTGTCAGGAGTGTCAATGCAGAGCAGAGCTAGGAGCGTCAACAATGGCAATCTTGTGGACCTTTGACCAAAGCGGACCAGCGAAGCCCGATAGCCTCCGTTATCCTTGGTCAGCTTATCTTGCTCTAATTTTGTTATGGCCAGCACCATTTGGGTTTTGTGTTTTAAAACAAAACTAAAAACCCAAATGTACTCCTCAGCCTTTAAATAAATTGTTACTTGTGTTGAGTCGTCCCCACCGTAATCTGCGCCGTAACTTTGTCTTCTCCTTTAGCTCTAAACTGTAATTCTAGCTATGTGTATTTTAACTTGTGTTTTTATGTGTTTTCACATCATGTCCTGATGATCATGAAGCACATTGAATTGCCTCTGTGTTTGAAATGTGCTCTATAAATAAAGCTGTCTTGCCTTACTCTTTTAATCAGTACATTTGTCATCTCTAGAAGGAATGAATGCCTTGCAGACAGGACTC